GCACGAGACCAAGACCAGTACCAGTTCCTTTGGCATTTCCCAGCCAGAATTCTTAGCTTCCGACCCAGGGCTGGGACTAGGGTGAAGTGAGTAAGCTGCCCCAGGCACAGCATCAAAAGAAGCACACCAGGGCCTGGTAGTGAGAGCCTCCTTCCATGTTGTATCCTAGGTGTCTCACTCCCCTACCCTAGTCTAGGTCCTGTTCAACTGCAGCTTTTTCAAGCGTTTTATGACAAGAAGCTCAAAACGTCAAGACATTGTTGGTGACAAACATACAAGTCTATACTTTTAAAAAAGGGGGTTATAAAAGGTAGAGTACATAAACAAAAGTGCTCAAGAGAGAGACCACCTCCCAGTTAATGAAATATCGTCAACCAAAAATACGTAAAGTTGTTAATAATCCAAACTGATTCTGCAACAGCTCATTGAGGATTGGAACACAATTTATCATTTCAAAGATCTGGATTATCATGGATGAAACCCAGCTCTGAAATGCATCTATATGTAGTAAAACTCTAATACAATACTTACCCTTGAGAATGTGTAATAAACCTATCCCTGCCCCACCTTTAATATGTACAAAGAGGTTTCAACATAATAGTGAATTCTATGTCCTGTGAATGTCTTTAAAGCTACTACAATATAACTAATGATTCTAATTGTGGGAGTTTTTGAAGCTGCTAATTTCTAATCAAATGACAATAGTCCTCAAGGCTGAGCTAATAGCTACTTCCATGTTGGAATCAGAATACAATACCTCACAAAATGAAAGCCCTTCAAAGGGAGTAATGATTCCTGGGGCTTATCGCATCTGAAGTACCAGAGAGAAGGACACTTGGACTGTTAGGTTCCTGGCTTAATTGTAACACAGGTCACCATCTTTCAAAATAAATGGATTAATGTTAGAAGCAGTACTTATTGAATCCTTTTCTATTCGTAGGGAACTTAACCTTTTCAACTTAATACCTTTGATTTCTAAATTCATTTGCAAGTAAAAATAAAACTATATAGTCTTGGTGACTTTCCAAGACTTGTGCACTCAAGAATTTTTTTTTTAATTTGTAAGTTTCCTGCAGTCAGAGACTATCCACTTATTCATTTATTTCCACTTATTATTCTCCCTATACACTCCCAGGATAGAAGTTTCATGTTTATTTGTTAGATAGATAGATACATACATACATACATACATACATACATACACAGATATACAGATACATAGATACATAGATATATATATAAGGATGTATATTCTGACTTTTGGAAGTGAATTCATAATGTAAAAAAAAAAACCAAAAAGATGCTTTGCAACATAGTCCTTGAGTCTAATTCATTATCAGCAATATCTTCCTAGAGATAGATTTGATATTAAAGCAAAGGTTAAAAAATCATCATTATAAATATTTGAGAATTTTTATCAGATATCTTGTCATTGTAATAATTTGTAGTCCATGAAAGCATGAAGAGACTCTGATCTCTCTATTAAGTCCTTCTACTAAAATGTATAGAAGAGAATGTTTTTCAAGCACCCAGTTTTTGCTTTTAAAGTATTTTAGAGATTTTTAAGCACTTATCATGTATGATGGTCACACAATTCTTGGCATAAATCAACAATTGTTTTCATGCTACAGATGATAAAATTTAGATTCAAAGAGAATATGTGACTTGGCCAAGTTTAGAGCACTGACAAATGTGTAAGAGAGGTTAGAATCTAGCTCTTTTTATTCCTGTACAGTGTGTTTTCCACTGCACAACTATAGCTGGCTGAATGTAGTAATGAGCATTGAACATTTTCAGTACTAATAAAAAAAGATTACGGTCTCTAAAACTTTCATAGTTTATGAGGGTTGATTATACCCTTGATATCAAATTCCTTTAACATGTAAAGTACCTTGAAATTCTTTCTCTTCCTTACAAGTTAAATACGGCTGTGTCTATTGGCAAGGTACAGTCTATATAAATATTAGCTACAAACAAATACCTAAGGAAGGGCCACATAAGAGTTCAAGTGCGTCACTGCTGTCGTCAAACCCACTCTCTTTGTCCATTGCCAAGGGGAGAAGAAAGTGACCTCCAATTACATTGAAAAGTCAACCAATCTGCAGTGCAATGCTTACAGATCCAAATACAGGTAACTTCCGTGATCCATTTACTATCTATAACTGGCTATAATACTAATAACCTTTAGTGACTGTTCTCACTGCCCTTCGCTGATCATATGTATCTATATCTTCATGATTGTAACTATCTTTAAAATAGGGTGCCCTTATAAAAAAAAGTAAGTTTAAATATATCTTTCTAAGAGAGTTGAGTTTTAAAAGTGAAGGCATGGTATGGAGATTTCTTTAAAAACTAAAAATAGAGTTATCATGTGATGCAGCAATCCTGCTCCTGAGCATATATCCAGAAAAGACGAAAAATCTAATTAGAAAAGATACATGCACCCCGATGTTCATAGCAGCACAATTAACAATAGCCAAGATATGGAAACAGCCTAAATGTCCATCGACAGACAGATTTCTTTACCCAGATGACTGGATAAAATGTGATATACAGAGATAATGGAATACTACTTATCCATAAAAAAGAATAAAATAAAGCCATTTGCAGCAACATGGATGACCTAGAGATCATCATACTAAGTGAAATAAGTCAGAGGAAGGCAAATGTCATATGATATCACTTATATGTAGAATCTAAAAAATGAGACAAAGGAACTTATTACAAAACAGAAACAGACTCACAGACATAGAAAATAAACTTATGATTTCCAAAAAGAAGGGGAGGAGGAGAGGGATAAATTAGGAGTTTGGCATTAGCAGGTACAAACTACTACATACACAATAGATAAACAACAAGGTCCTACTGTGTAGCACAGGAAACTATATTCAATAGCTTGTAATACCTATAATGAAAAAGCATACATATATATGTACAACTGACTCACCAATCTGTACACCAGAAACTAACATAACATTATAAATCAACTATACTTCATGAAAAAAAAGGGCATGAAAAATAGTAGATAGAGGGCTGTATCAAAATAAGTGAATAATAACACACGTTCTTTCAGACTGCTGTACAGAATTTTAATTCACTATTGTGAAGTTCAAGAACTTGTATTTTTCATGCCTGGATTCCTCCAAAACTTTGGCCAGAGATGACTGATTGTGACTAATGGCTTTTACACTATGAAATGATGGCTTATATCTCCTACAAATTTGTCATTCTTCGCTGTGACCTTTGGCAGACCCTTAAAACAGATCTGCCACCATGAGCTGGAAGAACTACTTTCACAGTGGTCCATCCACATACTTAAGCCATTTTGTTGTAGTTGTGGTTATAGAGAGCGCTAACTACGACAGTGGAGAATTGGCTTCTAATCTCAGTCACGTCTATGCCACTTTAAGTAGTCACTCAGCTTCTCCGTCTCTGGTGTCTGACTGAGATACACCTAACCCTGTCTACCTGTTTTTGTGAGATGAAAAAGCTATTCCATGGGACACAACTTTGAAGCCTCAGAAGACCCTTCTAGCATTAGGTAATATTATTTTCATCGCTGTCTATTCTCTCTGAAGTGACATATGAGTACCCTTGAGATATTACTAACACTAAACTGAAACAAAATATTCACCCTCATAGATGTAGTCACTATATCTTTGATGATGGCTTAGAACATATCTCCTTTCTGGCTCTCTTGTTTCAATTCAACTGAATCCAAGAAAATTGTTGTTCCTGGGCTTCTTAAACTTAAAATGATAGTTTCTTATACTTTCTCCTGAGAGATCTCTCCTCTCTCTTTTTTTCTTTTTCTCTCTCCCCTCACTTTAACTCCTCCTTCACATCTCCTTTCTCTTTCTGTCTCTCTCTTTCTTCCTTTTTTTTTTAACTCCTGTTTCTTTCCCACTCCTGTCAGTGGAGGTCACAAAAATCTATGGGCATTGCTTCGCCCTGCAGATATTATTTGGGCTAAAATCATTGAATCCTCACTTGAGCAACCCAAGCAATAGAAGCTGTGGAAGTATCTGAAGGATTTTTGATCAACCCACTGAGCACAAAAAGTACAAGCAGAACATGCAAAACTGTTAGGACCTATCATTACATCAATGGATAGAGGTTGGTTGGTTGTTTTTTTTTTCCTTAACTTTTTTGCAGCTCTTCCTACTACTATAGAAGCAATATATTTAAACCTACTGTGATTACTTAAATTTTATATTCACTAAAGACAATTTTCATTGGCAAAGTTCTCTTGGAGTAATTTTTGGACTTCTCTGGTAATAAATGCCTTCATAAAGGTATCGGAAGGAACAGCAGTTCCTACTGGAATTTCATAACTCAGTGGTGGGGAGGGGGGAGAGCACTCAATGTTCTCTTCCTGGACCTGCTCCTTAGTGAATAAATACACTTGGAGAGAAAGAATTATCAGCTGCTAATTGCCTCGGTGTCTTAATCTGCAAACTAAAAATAATAAATTTGTCCTTTTTAAAGAAGGGCTAAGAGGAAAAAGGAAAAAGCAAAGGCAGTGTCTATATGATGATGTGCAAATATCAAAATTATGGAGAGATTTTCCTTCCAAAATTTTTTTCCCAAAAGACTTTACAGTGAGCCAACACAGAACAGGGGCTTAACACAGTATCTACCCTGATGTGGGTCACGCATATATAAGCAAGTCCATGTTTGAATGCAAACTGTGAACAGCAGTGTCTGGGCACAGTCTGTTGCCCTAATGCCTTTAAAAATATTTGTTTTCTAGATAGAATATTTCCATTTTACATATTCATAGGGATTGTGACCTGTCTTTACATTAAGTGAAAATTGTCATAATTTTACTCAGAGCAGATAAAAATGAGCATTTGCTAAACCTACAGGTTTTCTAGCAAGGCAAATATTAATAAGTTAGCAGTTCAGAACTATGTTTTTGCTTTGTGAGTGACACCTTTGCTTCATCCTAAACTACACCCATACAATTTTATTGGGAACAATGAAAATGGGAATATTACCTTAACAGAAAGGAGCCTGATGCCAGGTCTTGAGAATTTCCATTGATGATACGCAGTCACATTGGTTAAGCTGAAACCTGTCTTCAGTGTCTTCACCACTTTACAGACTGTCAAAATCCTCGTCATTTTGAAGATGTTGATTTGTGACTAAAATTAAATCAAATTACATATATTTTTAGGAGAATTTTGTTATAAAATGTTTTAATTAATGTGGAAGAAAGCTGGGGGAGGTGGGTGCAGCCAGGTGTTTAAGGCTGACTGCACAGTGATCTTTGAATTTCCATTCATTCTGTCATTAAATGTCTTCGGCCACAACTCCTCCTTCTCTTAAGCCCTCCCCCAGAGGTAATGTCCACAGATGTTCCATGGACATGTAATACAAATTGCAACACACCAAACACTACCTTCTCCTGCTGAAATAATGCTAGTGCTGTGGAAAACCACTCGTCTGTCAAAGGAATTGCTTATGCAGCTGAATAGACTGACCTAGACGGAATGGACAATCTCAGGAATATCACTTACCCTAAAGGGAAGCAACTTTCTAACCATGCAAAGGGTCAAAGGTTTTTGCTTGTATTCAATGTGATGCTTACTTTGCCTTGAAAGACCTTTTGAATTCTCAAAGAAACTGAAGACTAGACCTGCCAATTTCTGCTTGGAAAAAGATCATGGAAATCACAGAGTAAAAAGGACCCCAGAATAAGCTTTTCCCCACAAATATAGAATAAATCTTTCTACATTGTGCTTTTTTGAGTTGATAAAGTAGTGTATTACATTCTTACTATTACATTATTTTGTGTTCAAAATTTTAAAGCAATCAGTAATATTAACTAAAACACAACTGGAGCAAAGTAGCCTATTTCCATATTTCTATCCCCTCTTAATTTTTCAATTTGTAAGAAATATATGAAACAATGGTAAACATTGATTTTAATAAGAATACTCTTCTTTGGTCAAGTTTTTTTTTAGTTGTTAAACTGTTGTTCTCAAAACTTGAACATTTGTGTCTCAACTTGAGTTGAAATTGATTCATTTAGCCTTTAATGCCAATGGAAAAGATGACAAAGAATGGCGTAAAGATTGTAAACTCCACTGCACAGGATGAGTGCTAGAATTAGGGGTGGAGTGAGGGTTTTTTTTTTAAATACTTAATGTATTCATGTTTAAACATTCTGTGAAGCCAGACTACTTTACAGCTCCTGGAGATAGAAAACTGAAAAAATAACAGCTGCACCACACTGCATTCCCATCAACAGTGCAGGAGTTTCCCTTTTCTCCACAGCCTCTCCAGCATTTGTCATGTGTGGACTTTTGAACGATGGCCATTCTGACT